AGGTGGGAAAAAATATTTTATCACTTTCATAGATGATTATACTAGATATAGTTATGTTTATTTAATTCGAACAAGGATGAAATTTTGGAAACTTTCATTCTATTTAACAATGAAGTCGAAAATCAACTTGGTAAGAAAATTAAAAAAACTAAGAAGTGATAGAGATGGTGAATATGAATCACCTTTTGGTAAGTTTTGTAAAGAGTATGGAGCAATTCATCAAACCACAGCTCCTTACTCACCTCAGCAAAATGGAATTGCTGAAAGAAAAAATAGGACTTTATAAGAAATGATGAATGCCATGTGAATAAGTTCTAAATTACCTCAGAGTTTGTGGAGGGAAGCAATACTTTCTGCTAATTGTATACTTAACAAAGTACTCCGGAAGAAAGTAAATCAAACACCTTATGAAATGTGGCATGACAGAGTACCATCCTATAAATACTTAAAAGGGTGGGGCTGTTTGGCTAAAATGACTATTCATAGTCCTAAAAAGACTAAGATAGGTCCTAAAACTGTTGATTGCATTTTCATTGGTTATGCCATGAATAGTAGTGCATATCGATTTTTGTCAGAATATTCCAAAATGCATGTGAATACTATTATTGAATCTTGGAATGCGTATTTTTTTGAACATGTGTTTCCAAATAAAACTAGACAAGAGACTAGTATTAACAAAAGATCTTATGACGTTATTACTAGTCAGGATCAAGAACATGATCAAGAACAAGAGCAAGAGATAAATCAAAATGATGAAGAGGAACTTAGGCGTAGTAAATGTGCTAGAACCTCAAAATCTTTTGGTCAAGATTTTCTAACATTTTTGTTAGAAAATGAGCCTTTAACTTTTAAAGAAGTTATGTCCAGTCTTGAGGCTCCTTTATAAAAATAAGCTGTAAATAGCGAAGTTGAATCCATCTTGCAAAATCACACTTGGGAATTGGTAGATTTGTCACCAGGTTGTAAATCTCTTGGGTACAGGTGGATTTTCAAAAGAAAAATGAAAGCGGATGGATCAATTGACAAATACAAAGCAAGACTTGTGGTCAAAAGATATAGACAAAAAGAAGGTCTTCACTACTTTGACACATACTCAACAGTTACTAGAATACCATCTATTAGAATGCTAATTGCCATTGCATCTTTGTACGATCTAGAAATTCATCAAATGGATGTGAAAATTGCTTTCTTAAATGGTGAGTTAGATGAAGAAATTTACATGGAACAATCAGAAGGATTTTCTGTTCCAGGAAAAGAAAAGAAAGTGTGTAAATTGGTTAA